CCCCTTCCTGCTCTCCCTGCATAGCCCTGGAAAACTCCTGTGCTCCCAGCACAGCAACACAGACTCTCCCCACCTTTCACACACCACTCACCACATGTTGAGAGCTGGGACACTTACAGTGCCCCAAGTCCACAGTCCTCTAAAGCACAGAGGATGATGTAGTCTCTCCATTGCTATCATACCTTCATTTAACACAAACACCATGCAAAAAATCATTAAATCACTCACACAAAACATAAAAACCACTCTAAATATACAGACTGTTGGCAAAACATCTGAAGTGAATGATAATTTCATCAGAGAGAAACCTACTTTTTGTCTTCAGGTTTAATCACAGACGGATCTGTAAGGTTTTCCCCAACACCTACAACAAAATCAACAGTGTGTATTACAAAGGAAAGTAGTCACAATTTCATAATCTGGCACTTAATGAAAATATAATTATCCATTTTCTTTGTAGATCATAAAGTGTCATAGTTAAAGTGGTCATGAGTTAAAAAGAAAATGCCATGAGTATAAAAATCTGTTACGTATTGGCAAACATAGAGTACTTATTACAGTCCTGACTTCAGCTGCTTTGAGGTTTATTTATATATAGATGGAAGGCTTATGCAAATGCACTAAATATTACGCTGAAGTTCAACTATGCAAAATGTGACTAACCATGAGACTGCTATTCAAGTTGGAGTAAAGGTATTAATCAGATGTGGATCTTACTGATATCAATAGATCTACCCTCAGACACACGTTCTCTTCAAGGTAACAAACACAACAACCCACAACTTCGTGATCTGCAAATGCTTGGGTCTGTTATCCCTTTTTTCTTCTGGGTGGGCATGGAAGCATATTCAATAAATAATTCCATTATGGTACCTCAATGCTGATACCTATGTTGCTGTTTTCCCCAAACTGATGACACCACTTTGCCAAAATGCTCTTTTCTCATATCTGAGTAAATCGTTGTGCTTTTACACTAATGAAAAATGTCTATGATCACATGATACACAATTATTTTTATTTCAATAGGCCACTGATAGTAAGTTTATATTCTGCAACAATCAGTAAAGATTATGGAAATAGCGTATTGTGATTGAAATACCCACAAATTGCAATACTCTTCAATGAAGGTCATTTCAGTTCATGTAAATTAGACAAGATGTGGTGTATATATATGTGGAGATGGCCTAGTATTATATAGTAAATGGTAATAGAGAGTAATCTTATTAGAACTCCAAGGGGAGCAGCCCTTGCACTTTTCCTAAACTCCAGATTAGAGAACTACAAGATAAAGATGAAGTCAAAACTAGAGCAGATTTCAGTTTGCTTGAGATGGAAACTGAAGCTCCAGTCTTGATGAGTTTTACATAGATGTTTAAATTCTCCATGTCTGAGCCAACACAGTTGGTCTGGAACTGTTGAGAGTTGTATAATAAACCCAAGCAAACTTCAGACAAATTCTAGTAGGCTATGGTGAAGACACACTTACTCTTTCTGTATTTTTCTTCATGTGCAGCTAAAACCAAATGACGGCAAGGATGGAATTATAGGTTTATTTTGCATAATAGGCATGTCTTTTTGTAATTCACAGCTTCTGCATGCTGTAAAATGTAAATATGTTAAGTCTCTGTCTACCCATACACATTTCCCTTGACAGAAATGACAAACAATAGTGTTTATACTGTTTGATGGGTGCTGTTCATCTTCTGAGCATTGTCAACTGTTTTATCTCTTTAAAATATGCCATGTTCCCACTTACACATGTACAGTAAAGTGATCACATGCTCTTTGAAGGAGTTACCAGACTTTGCGAATAGCATTCAGGCTTGCAGCTTATGTAAACTGCTTACAGATTTATTAATATGAAAAATAAAAAAATACAGATAGCAGTTCACTCTTCTGACAGATATACACATACATTAAGTGTGCATATATACATAGGTATGCTTGAATCTCTGTATTATTTATATCTCTTAATAAAAATAAAAATACCTTAACTGTGGAGTGGTTTTTTGGAGCTGCCTGAAATGTTCCTGCACACTTTATCTACCTGCTCTTTTGCCCATTCAGCCTAGACATATCTGAAGCCAAATTATTTTCCCATTACAACTATATTAATCCAGAGTGTTTCTGTGGATACTCATTTATCGCTGCCACACAACAGATATCTGGGGTTTCTTGAGCTTTGCCAGTATGTAAATGAGTACAGAATTTGGTCCATTCCTCAGTCTTACATTCTCTTTTGAGAGAATAGTTTCAAATAGTGATCCCATGCTAGCAGTCACCTTGCAAATCCAGGACAAGGAGCTCCCCACGGGTGTACACGTAGGTCCAGTGAGAGAAGGCCAGCATCAGCTCTTCCAGCAAGCTGCTGGGAGTAATCTCGTCTCCGTTGTTGTTGTTATATTTCCGAAACTCGCCAGTCATGTACTTTTCAATGGTCAGCCACTGGTTCGCTGAATGGCAGTAGATGAGGAAAACTTCCAGGAACCTGTAGATATAAATGCTGTCTATCAGGAGCTGGCAGAGTAATGAACATCCTCACAGTCAGCACACGGCATGATGCAAAGTAAATATATCAAGAAGGAACACATATCTTCTCTAGCTGGAGCGTTTTGAACAGCAGGGAGTACCAAATGGTAGACAGCACAAAGGCTTTCTCGGTTCAATAACTCTCAAAACAAAGCACTTGATCAGAAAGTATGGACAAACAACATAATCTGATTTACTCCAGCCCTCTGTAAATAAGCTATATCAAATTGTCTTACGGTAACTGTATAAAAGGCAATTCTTGCTTAAGACTAAGGAACAGCGTTATGAAGAAGCTTATTTTGCCATCACATGTAGCTATAAAGACAAAGTTCAAAGCTGCCTACCTTTCCTGTTAAAAAGTTGATTAACTATCATTAAGCTGTGTAAGCAACAGCTGTTTCAACCCACTATGGAAAAGAAGGCTGCACTAGACCTGGGACACAGCTGAGAAGAGAAACTTCTGGCACCTAATACTTAAAGACACTAATTTTACCTTGGAGTATAGGGAATAGTATGAGGCTTCACTTGATTGAAGGTATAGATTAACTTCTGGGCAGCCCTTTGCTGTTGGATCTCCTGAAGAAAATAATATTATAAACATTACTTTCATTTTCATGAAGAAAGGTGTCATGAATTTGTCAAAACAAACAAACAAACAAATACTTGACTGTATACTGTTTACAAATGAGAGATGTATCTTTCTCAAAACCTTTTTTCCTTCCAAAAGGTAACATCAAACCACATGTCAACCATGCTGAAGACATTCACATGTAAGCAGTATAACATTTAAGGCATATCAGGCTAGACCAGTCAGTGTGCCTTCAGGTCTGAACTCACCCTCAGGCAGAGATGTAACACTGTGCCATCATGAAAGATCTTTTGCCAAGTCTGAACCACCTCTGGCAGAAAAGACTTCACAATAAATACTTGTCCCAACTTTAATACATCATTCTCAGACCAAGTACAAATGACCTTCATGGCCCTCCGCAGACCTCCATCCATCTCCTCCCGTGACAAGACTTGGATCATTGCAGCCATACCACGCTGGGACCAGGAAGACATGCTTTTATCAAGGTTCATAGGTGAACTTTCTTCTAGCCGATAGACCGTCACTTCCTCTCCAGCTTAAATAAAAGGAAGTTTTGTTAGCAGAAATCACACATTGCAGAATCAGCAATTTGCAACAACATTGCATTTTGATTTGGTATCTTAAAATGATGTACAACTTTACATACCTTTGCAAGTCACACTTTAACAGAGAGCTTTTTTACCATTACTGTTCATCTGTGTGAAAACTTCCCCAGCCTAAATTTTCACTACTTACTACATACGTTCCACTTAAGATCTACTGTGGTAACATAAATGGTACAAAGAGCTTGTATTAAGCCTCTAAGCAGAGATGAATTTAAGACCTCCTGCACACTTGCACACAAACAAAGCTCGCTGACATTCTGGTCTATATAAATCAATCATCTCATTCGCCACAGCCTTTTAAGTACTTAAAAATGGTTGAGCTTTAAAAGTATGTATTTTTAAATGGTCACCATTTTATCTCCAGCGTATGAACTTTAAATATACTGAGTGTGGCTCCCTCTGTTTATGCACTTATGTGGAAGGGGAATTTTTAGTAAGACTTGTTTTAAGTTAACCAAGATCCATGGAACACTCACAGTATTTTCCTTGTAATTTTGCTTAACAAAAAAAAAAAAAAACAAACAAATAAACAAGACAAACAAGCACACACAGCTTGTAATAGTTATCGACTACAAAATTAAAGGGCTGGACAGTGCCACCTTTTGATGCAGAGAGCTGAGAGTTGTTTCAAAAGTGGTGACTTGGCCACAATGAGCCAGGGAAATTAGATTGAAAAGGACATGACTTTCCTTGGAGAAAGGAACTGTAGGAAAACAAACTAAAGCACATTAACAGGAAGTTTACAGTTTTGGTGTTTGAAACTAAGATTTGCCTTTTTCCTAGAAATTCCAATGTTATTTGTACTGCACAAAATTTCAGATGTTCTGCTCCTGCTAGTAACATTTTTCTGAGAGCAGAACAAACCTGGTGAGCTTTAGCCCAGTCACAATCTGTTTCCCTATATAGTTGTAATAGCATTCCTTTTTTGCAGCATAAGCGAGACACCTTTCTGTTGCAACCATTTGTAAACTAGCAGAAAAGTGGACTGATTTTTTAAACCTGCCTCTCCTTCTTGCAACTCATATTGTTTACAATGTTAATTCATAAGAAACAGGTTTTCACTGGCAAGTCTGATGAGGTAACTACATCTGCAAAATGGCAAAGAATGGCATAAAGAAGGACAAACTGGATTCAGATTAGTAGACTTCTTCCCGACTCCCGAGCCTACTGTCACCAGTTAGCACAAATATAGATGCTGTCGAATGCCACAATTTGTGCACATTTTAATTTAAAATAAAGCAATAGAAAAGCCAGTGTCTTACATGAAAGACAGACACTTGAATAAAGATACTATAACTAGACACATTTTTTAATCTTACATTAATTCTTCATTTTATTATCTTTTGACAATTTAATACCTAGAAAGGTGTCTCCTGAGAGCTTCAAAGATTAGAATGTTCAATATGCTCATAGCTATATTAATTATCTGCAGCAATCTGGTCCCAAGAAATCCTATGATGCTGCAAGTATCAGCAATTAGTTGCTGTGAGACAAAATATTCTACCCATTGAAAAGAAGGCACCTAGAACTCAAGTGTCTAGAGGCAGAGCTGCTGCTGCAGTAAGCCAATACTGCACACTAATTTAAGAACTCTTCCAAACAAATTATGTATTATTCTCTACCACTCTTCAGTTACAGCACAGTTCTCTTCCTTGGTACGCTACAAGCCTTCTATACCAGGTACAGGAGTAATGCTCCTTCAACCAATACCTGGTTTTCTTGTGGATGGGATATCCTACACCTATACCTACATGCATGTGTATGAGCGAGAGAAAGAGAGAGAATGGAGGTGTTAATGTTAAGGGGAAACTTTTTGCTGTTTTTTGTTGTCTTTAGCTGTCCTAATGATAGGTATAGAGAAGATGGAGTTAGACTCACCTCTGAGGTTGACAGTAATCACATGAATGCAAACAGATACAAGTTACAGCAAGGGAAACCCCAACAAGTACTGGGAAAAATACTAGGTTCTCAATGAAGTCAGTCAAACACTGGAAGAGGTTGTCCAGTGAAGCTGAGGAATCTCCATTCATAGACATATTCAAAATGCAATTGGACAGGCTCTCAGCAACCTGATCTGAATCGGCCATAAAGGGAGTTGGACCAGATGACCTCCAAAAGTCCCGAAATTACTGCATGACTACAACTGTACCCTGGTTCATCTCTTTCAGAAAAGAAGAATTGCTGAAATTCATCCAAGGAAATTTCTCAAACACAGTCTTTAACAAAAGATAATGCACTGACTATTTATAAAACAAAAAAACATAACCAAGAAGTTGGTACTCACCAAAGAGCTGGACTGGTGTAAATGGTATGGTCTGAGCAAGTCTCATTAAGTTGTTTCTTTCAACAGCTGCAAACAACATAGATTTCACTACTATACTGAAAAAACATCAAGCTGGCTGAGGTTCAAAAACAGCTGGTGGCACTTTACTGTAGCGTACAAAGCCAAGGAGGCTGCAGCGTGATCCTGTGTGAGATCTGATCACCATTCAACCCAGCTAGCAATTGCCCTTTGCCCACCCATGGAATCTCACAAGCACCAGCTGCCACTATTTCCCCCGTTCATTGATTCCCTTCTTCCAAGGAAACAGGCTCTCTGGGATAAGCTCCTTGCACCCTGGCTAGAAGGACTGCTTCTGCTAACTCTTCATCCTCCTCGTTCCACCAAGGGCTGCTACTACTTCCTCCTCCTGCTGGCTCCAGTGCAGCAACATTCACACTGTGCCAATGAGATGCACCAGCCCCCGCTGCCCTCACTGCCTGTCTCTGTCAGACTCAGAAATACCTGGGGATTTAGCAAGGCATCACAGGAAAATCCAAGCTTGCCCTGCACAGAGCACTGTTTCTTCACCTGGGGCCCTCACCAAACAACGTCAGTACCATTATTATATCTCCCTAATTGGCAGCTTTTTTCTCAGGCAAACACCCTCAAAACTTCAGAGCGCCAACTAAGTATTTATGGATTTGTCCTTACAATGACTCACTCACCAGGAAGCGGGAGCAAGTTGTGAAGTAAGCCGCAAAGAGGGTAAGACTAGAACAAGCAGGCAACTCCGATGCTATGGTGCTGACTGCCTAATTTCCCTATTCAATGGCTGAAGACAAAACTAGCATCCAAAGCAGAGAGTGAACCACAGCAGAGCTGTGCTTCTCTGCAGAGCAACCAAAAAGCCCTGATGGCAGACTCTTCCAGAGCTTGGACACCACCTGTCCTGCTTTTTAAGATTACTACTCTAAGCAGAAATTAACTAGATATTATTTATACCAGAAGGAGAGAGCAAAGAGGACCCATGACATGCCAACCCATGACTTGGGGCTCTCATTTGAGAAGATCTGCATTTCAGACTCCACTTCAAGGCTTGTTTACATATTCTGAATTCAACAAGCATTGGTTAACATGTCTGAATAGTTTTGGAGCATGGACTGAAAATCAAGGTCCTCCCCTGATTTCTCACTAAGAACATGCTCTGGTCATGGAATTAGTGCATAGCAGGGACAAGGATGTGAACAGAGGAGCTGCCAGACCTGTACCAGCACTCACTGTAGAACCTCCAGAAGCAATGTGAAGTGGACTTACACCAGATGCTGAACCTGGGTCAAAACTCATGTTCTTTTGGGTGTGCAGAGAGGCACAACTGTATTTGCACAAAGTGATAGCAAAAATAATGCATAAGCAGTATATGCTGCGGGATTTTAGTATCAAACTTTTGGGCTTAGTTGGCTAAATTCTATCCCGATCTTCCTGAGGAAAGAAAACCTACACTGGAAACCTCTCAAGACGTTTGTCAACTCATAATGGAAACCACTCTCACCTGTGCTAAAAAGTCCTACCTAATCTCTAATAGCATGCCTGGTGAGAGCCAAATTAATCACTGCAACAATGCCACAATGTCAGAGAAATTACTCCTGTACACTGATTACAAACCAGGAGGTGTTATTCCCAGTGAAAATCGCATAGTTTTTTGAACTTCAGGAGGCTGCTAATGCTTCTGGTTTACCCCAGGCTTCCCTTTAAAGGAGGCCAAGTCCTGTAGGCAACAGAGACATCTACTGGCAAGCTCTCCACAGTTCTCCTCTGGGAAAAACTGAAATCCAAGCCTTGTGGGAAAATCCGTACATATTCAGTTCAGGAAGAGACAGGACTGCAGGCAATTAGCAACCAAATGATTTATTCCCTGCCAGATTTCCAGGAGTTCATAGGTATATAAACACAGATTAAGTAGTACAGGACCAATTAACTGAAGAAACCAATTCCAGAAAGTACAAAGGACGATGCGGGAGGTGTGAGGGGAAGTGACAGCTATAAACAGATGACTGCCTCTTCTGCCCCCCCCAGGAATCAGAGCTATATTCACTGTTTCCACTGATATTTTGAAAGTGATTATCTACATTCTGCTCTGAATTTGCCAGAAATACCCGGAATGGAGCAATTAGCAGCAAGAAAATAATTCATAATTTCCTCACTGGAGTGTTAGGCATGAATTAATACAGAACCTCCTTAGCAGTGGGCAATTGTGCAACTCTTCAAAGTGAAAATCACAGAGGATGACAAGGGAAGAACTAATGTTCTTTTTAATTTGTTAAATTACTCAGCTATCATTCTGGTGTCTCATGCTTACCAGAGTAGTGATGATGCAGATCTTGAGATGTTTTCAAGCAGGCAAAGCTATCTGAAATAATGTTAAAGCATCATTTCATTAATTATTATACCAGAGATAAATGCATGATTTTTTTAAATTCCTTCCATCCCAGAGTTTGTCATGAAACAGATAAATCAGAATTTACCATCTCAGCACGCTAAAGAGGAGAAGTATTACTAGGCTTTAACTATGTTATAATGTACAATATATTGGCAGATTTCAGTCATCAGTGTAATATAGCCAGATGACTTATTTATTCAGGGAAATGGTGGGAAACATGTGATATTAACCTCAAGGACATGTAGCTTCTCTAAGCCAATTACACCTCTGGGATATTAAAAGCACTTTGCTGTCCATCATGCTTCACAGCCTCCCAAAGGCATGATTTTTCCAACTCCATCCTCAGTCATTAAGCATTTCATTAACTATACTATTACACCGAAGTTATAATAATACTGTCCCATTAACCCACAACATCTCAAATACTGTTAAAATATAAACAGACAAACAGTTTCTGTGGTTACATATTTAACAGGCACAGCCAGATCAAATTTGTCCAAAAATCTTTGTTTTCTAAAAAGTCTTTTTAATAAAAACAAGATTAACGAGCATGTTTCCATTAATTAGATGAAATCACTTTGTTCTATTGGAAAACAATCCTTCAAAATGCTAGATTTTAGAAAATATGTATACTGTACTACTTTTAATTCTGAAAAACAAGATAATCAAAACTGAATCTTCATCAAAATATTTGAACATTACACTTTTCTTCTTGGTGTATTTTATTTGCTTACCTTTTCCAGTGAAAGAGGTCTTAAATAAAAAACATAAATAGATGCTGGGGGAAGGGCCAGCATCTCCACAGAGTGCCCTTGGTGATTCAAGGTCCCTTTGCTCTCTTTCTTGCTGGACCCAACTAGCTTTTGTTGCATTTTGTACGTTGTAAAAATACAAACATGAAAAGGGGAAGGGGGGGGTCTAAGTAATTCCTTTTGAGGATGGGAAAACTGGATTTTAATCAAAGCAATGATGCACTCTAGAGCGCAGCCCCACAACTCACTATGCTTGCAGCAGTGTGCTTCAGCACTGCAGCGTTTTGTGCACAGCCAGACCCAGAAAGAGCAGCTCTTGAAGGGGAGATAAGTCTAAGAGCAACTTGTTTCTGCGTCACAGCTAGCCTCCAAAAAGAGATAGATGCCCAGCTGCTCAGCCTCTTACAGCTAAGTGGCATGTCAGGAGAACTGGATGATAGACTAAAAGGCAACAAATACAAGTGAAGTCAACTAGCATTCTATTTTTGTGGAACACAGTAATTCCTTGCTATAACCTTGAATTTCTTTATTGGCTATTTCATAATGAATTCAGGCCTTCACCGATTTCATAATTTCAGGGAAACCACACAAACAAAGGAATTACACCAAACTGCAACTTGAAAAAATCAAGCATGCATTAAAAATTTTATATCACAATCTATCCTCAGGTATACAACCTGTTTTAGCTCAGATCTCTTAGACTGCCAGGGATGAAAGCAGCACCATCACCTTAAAGAGTTTCTTCTGAGAAGTACATTACCAGGCAGACTAGAGCAAAAATAGATTTTTTTTTCTTTTAAGATTTTTGCAGTTATCATGAGAACAACATGTCCTCATAAAAAAATCTTTCACTTTAAAGTATGAATTACTAACTAACATATGAATAGTTGGAACATTTTCCTATAACCCTCCAACTATAGTAAATTAACTTCCTTTTGGATTTTGTACTTCAGAATTGTCAGTGAGATTTGCAGAGTGGCATTAAAATGAATGACAAGCAACCAAAAACTTACTGTCAGTTTCCTCTGAAGTTCTCAACCTGTTTAAAAGCAAACATTTGATATTTTACTCCAAAATTTCTGTCATTAAGCTAACACTGGTACATATAAAGAGATGTCATCTACGTGACGGCAAAACTCACAAAGGTTTGATTAGCAATCACAAACTAAAATAACCCTCAGTGCAACTTTGTTCATTGCAACAATCAGCAAATAATCTTCAGTTACTGAAGAATAGCCGCATTTTTCTGCATGTTTCTTTCTCTGCTTTATGTTGAGCTGCTCTTATGATTCTGCACCGCTGTTCATATCGTTTACACTGCAATAAGAGTATCAGTTGAAGACCACTTCAATCACATACACAATTGTTCATTTTTCAATCAATGCTGAGATGTATTCAGAGCTACATAAGCCATTACCATTGCTTGCACAAAAACAGACTTTTTAAACTGATGGTCCTTTGGATTAGCAAGGATGCAGAGAGACTACAGCATCAGCATTAAGATTAAAGCAGTCTTTGTTACAGAAGACAGTGAATATGATTCACCTCACAGACCAGAGAGATCCCACTGAAGACAATAGACTAAGTGACAGAATCAGGCCACTCAATGGCCTGTAAGTCCTGCTGGTAAGTATGCAGTTTGCCTACTGCCTATAAATGACTGGGTTAAAAAAAAAAAAAAACCCAACCACAGGATGGGTAAAAACCACAGTATCTTTTTTCCTCTTCCCGTGGTGAAATCACATGGCATGTGACAGCTTTTTAGTACCTTTTATTTATTACATCCACAGTGTTACTAAGTAAGAGAGATATAAAAGAAATTGACAAAACTAAGAAAGAAAAGGAAAAGGAACATAAAGACAGCACTGCATATGGAAAAAATACCCCCAATATTAAGATAATGATCAATCAAGCTGGGAAAAAAAAACTCAAAAAACCCACAATAAAATTGAAAACGTTTTTGAAATCAGTATAGTTTCACTAAATGTAATCAAAGCTTAATAACTATTGAAAACCTATTAAGAAAGCCAAGCTGAATATTTTGTAAATGTACAGTATGAAAGAGATTAATCAGAGAATGAGAGAAGCTTTCAGGAGCTGCTAGCATTTTAATTATTAAAAAAGGAAACATGCAATTTGCACAGCAAAAGTAAATGCAACTTTTCATGCTCACCAGATTGGAATAATGGCTAGTTAAAGATGCTGTGGTGATCTTAATGATTGAATTAGAAAATTGGATTATTGTTGGAATAAAAAGGGGTGTCTATTCCACCTAAAATTACACACTTTGTTTAAGTGGATTTCCCTTATCTCCATTAATAAGGCTTCATTTAAAGAAATGTAAACAGACTGAATTGCCTTAACTCTTCGTTTCACATAAATTTCTCATCCTAAGTATAATGCAGAACTGAAGTGGAAACCTGCAGAAAGTATAGAAGTCTCTTTCAAAAGCATGTGATAAGTATCTTAACATACTAATAATACATACGAGGAGTTCCTGTTCAGATTACGTTTCTTGGTGGTTCCAAATATGCTATTACTCAAATCCTGTAAAGAAGAGAGATGCTTTTACTGGTAAAATCTGCGTATCACTGTCATATACACACTGCACAACTCAAAAAGGTACAATCTTGAAAACACTTACTGTTACGCTTATTGTTAGCATGAATAATGACACTGACAAGCAGGTGAATCACAGCATTGCCATACCTACACTAAAATGGAACTAATTTGCTCACATTACAGTTTTCCATGCTGTCGCCATACATTTGAATAAAATGCTCAGGTACCCAGCTATATCTCAATACACTCACAAAAGTATGTTAAAGGTCTTCTAATATAGACAGTATTAGACAACTCTATATTGGAAAATTCCAATTTAGAGATAGGCTTTACAGTTGTTGAAAATAAAATGCACCCTAAACCTCTGTAACAGAAGAAGGTAACAAACTGAGCAGCTTTCCAGTGATATTTAGATCACATATTTTCCAGGCCTTATAGTTAAAGAAGTACTCAAATAATCTTTTAAACTTCCAGCCATATTAGGGAAAACTGGGCCAGCTGGCCCTAATGTGCTAGTCACAAAAGGGATTATTCTTCACAGATAATGTTGCCAGGAAGATTTCAATCCTCAAAAGAAATAGAGCCCCCCCCCCAAAAGTTCAAAGACAATGAAGTTTAAACATAAATTAACTAAAATTCATCTTTGAATATTATCTGAAACTTAACTCACAATTTTTTTATTTCACTCATATTTTCACCTTGTAGCCTGCTTTCAAGACGAAAAAATCTTTAACAATATTAAAACCTTCCTACACACACCCTTGCTTTGCTCCCTGCTACTCATCAGGAGGGATTTCTGAACCACTGGTGTTCAGTGGGTAAATCTGAGAAACACCACTTCAGGAAAAATGCATTTCTTTAAAATATATCATAGTCCAAGCGGAAGACTTGGATGCAGCAACATTGTTACATCTCAGTGATATATATAAACTCTCATAACCCAGACAGGACTTAAGGAGAGGCATAGCAACTCAGTGGGTATTGGAGGCTATGTCTTGAAAGTATAAATAATTTGAAGTTTGTGTTCTGGGAAGTGACTAATTTCAGCCTAACTCCAAACCTCCTGTAATCAGTGGAATTTTTCTAAGAACTTTAAAAATCTCACCCTTGAGTTTTACCCAAGACATTTTAATATGAGTTTTGAAGCACCAGGTTACTTGGTCCCTTCACACAGTTTCCCTGACTGTACCTTTATTTTGCTTGTCTGACCCTGTGTTTCACATTTCAAAGACTTACTGATTTAGACTCCAAGCTTAGGTTTTACAGAATACAAAATCAGTAAATTTATTTCTATTTCTCTCTCTCTCCTCTTTCATACAAAACCCTGCCATTTTTAAAATTTACATTCAAGCTTTCTTCCCTGGTATTTGAGATTCAAATTCTACAGCACTCAGAACAGCAAATCTGAAAGTATCTGGTTTGTTTTCATTCCTTTAAAAAAAAAAAAAAGCAACTCATAGAATTTACAGTGAAAAATAAGCTAGGCTTTTAATAAGCTAGGCTTTTACAGATAACCATTTTAATAATCAAGAGTGCTGTAAATAAAACAGGCAAGGAAGGGTGCTGTTGAAAAAGGAAGAGGAAAGGCTTATTTCACAGTTCCTTTTCTTAATTTATTCTTTGTTAGTTTCCTTTCATACCTCCAAGACATCCCTATGCAATGTAGTGAAAGATGTATTTTTTTCCATTAGCCACATCATTTTAAAACAGATAGACATTACTATAATCCAGATTCCTGAGCCCAGTCTTCAGGAAATACAAATTGGTCTAGCTCCATCACAGTCAATGAGCCTATGTTGATTTACATAGGCAGAGGACCTTTACATTACGGAGCTGCAAATTAATTCTGTTAAATAATAAGATACGGTGGTTATAAGTCAGTGGTTAGGAAATCTAAGCTTTACAATTATTATCAATATTTAACTCCGACGTTGCAAGAAATAACTCTCTGTGTGACAGATTAAGAGCTATATAGCTAACTTCCCAAAATTTACTTCACTCTGCTAACCAGTTCCGCCCAAAGGTTCAAGACCAAGCTGCGTGCTCACTCATTGCCTAATGAAACATCAACACATGCGCCATTTCTGACAAACTTCTTCATACTCAGAACCACTTTGCGATTCAATCATTTAATATCCTACTTCAATAATCTTAACAGAGTATTAACAGCTGTTAAATTACTCATTTACTTGCACACATGCGCTGTGCCAGCAGACAACAAAAGTTCCTTATGTCTCAAGAGGTGTTTCATGACAAAGAACCTGCAGTGGCAAGTCCAGGGACGTCAGCAGAGCTATCCTGGGCTCATCCCAACCAAAACCACAGACTAAGATGGGTAATCTTAGGTCTTACCTCTCGAGAATGTCTCAGGTAATCACAGAATGGTATGGTATGCCTACCGATGTCTTGATTTTTCATTTTCTGCTGCATGTAACTGAGACGTTCCAAACCTAGCCAAAAGAGCAGGTGTCAGCTATTTCCAGAGTCTAAATGAACAGCTCTACTGCTACAAACTAAACACCTATGCAGTACTATAAAATAAACACCTATATACCATATTGCTGCAGCAAACACATAATGGACTATAAAAGCAGTAACACAATTTCATAGGGTTAAAACAGACTATTTCCATTCTCTGTCAGCAGATTTCAGAGGAGCACAGCTCTTCTCAGACCATGCTGTGCTGAGTCACAGCATTCCCTGGTGCTTCTCCCAGCAGCTCACAGGGTGAAGCCAGTGAGCCGCATCACAGCAAAGCTGAAAGGTATCAGATGAACTATGCAAAGGATTTCGGAGAATGAAAGAGTTGGAGAATTAGTAAGAAGAAGAGTAAGAATGCCATTCCCTTTTCATTCCAACAGAGATGATGCAGAACTCATTTCTTGCCTTTGGAGGATGTGTTTCTGAGCAATGAGTAATGAATAATGCATGCAGAGGATCTGCCAGCAGATACAGTATAGCAGCACTGCCTGTGAGTGTAAATGCCCTGAGGAATTCACGAGAGAGGTTATTTTTGCAATTAGCCAGGATGCCACTTTAGAAGACACCTCAGGAGAGGCAACAAGGATATCGTCCTCCTTGCTTCCTACTTATTCCTGAGGATTAATACTCTGCTATCTCCCATGTGAGACAAGCAGCACTCCCAGAAAGATTTAACTGACCTTCCATCCAACCTATGCCCCTTTTGCCTCTGCAATGACACAACAAATAACCAAGTTGTGTGTGCCTGAAACATAATTCTAATTCTGTAAAAATTATGCCATGAGGTGGAAGTGGTGCAAGACACTTTGAATTTGTGAATTTTTATTATACTGCTTCTTTTTAAAAGCTGTTCTGAATTTCACTGTCTGCAAATTACCACATACTTAGCTGACTGAAATTAGACACAGTGAGCCAGTTCTTGCTGTGTTTCTCTTGTTCATCCCAGACATTGATCTCTGCAGGCTCTGAGCTCACTTGGGTGTTCTGGGGACAATCATCCACTCTAATCACCTGGCAAGACACAGACAAAACAACACTTGATTTATAGGATGACTAGCACCTCTGCAGTTCCTCTGACAGCCTATGACTTGGCCTTTCAGAGCATCACTGAAATGCCAATGACTGAACTCGCTCCCAACTGAGAAACAGATTTTCCCATTTTTGTTACAAGTTGCAGAAGACATGTTGCTTTTCTCTAGTACATACTACTAATGAAAGATGTAGCACTACAGCTTTTTAAAACAAAGTCTGAAGTCCCTCGGAATACCTTCAGAGGTATTGGGTCTCAAAGTTCAAGTCTAAGATCTGTTGCTGACGTGAGCATCTTATGTAAACAAATCAGTCTTCAGCTTTCATCTCATCAAACAGAGATAACTCTTTACAGCTGACAAAGATCCTGGGAATCTCTTTATAACTTTATAAATAGATTTTTATATATGTACACACACATACAGTTATGAAAGTTGCCCCATAAATATGACACAATAAATATGCTGTCCACAATGTGCTAAATGTTTGATGGATTCAGAGAAAACACTGTGGGACTCTTGTAGGCAGAAAACATTACAAGGCCTGGCTTACTTGTTTACAGTTGCACACCACCTGTATGTGGCTCACCACTCCTTCAGTCTATCCTAGATCATATGAAGCCTCCTCAAGTCCTCCTGCCAGCTAAGTGCAAGGACTGATTCCTCTCTGTGTAAAATCAGTAACACCCCTGGTATACTATGTAGCGAAGTCCACAGACTTCAGCACTTTCAAAACTGAAATCCCACACATTCAAACAAAAGGGAAATCAAACCTAAGCCAGACACACAAAAAAGATGCCCCAGTTTGTGTGCAGCATTTTAAATGTATACATTTTCAAGTAAGCCACACTGCAGAACTGCTCTCAATGAATGAAAAAGACAGCTATGGGACATGCAATTGTCTTGCATCTGCACATACCGGCACCTGAAGGGGTTTTTGATTCTTCTTTCCTCTCCCAGACTTCCTGTCTCTGTTTTGTTGTTTTGCTTTTGTTGACTCACTGTGGTGTAGCTCACTGGATCCTAAAGAGTCT